CTAGGCTTATGCTTATGCTGTCACGGTTAACGTGTATTCGGGAATCTAAGAAGCAATATTTTTCAGTGGGCGTGGCCACCGAAAATAAATTCCACGCCCCCTCATATTTTGGTCACCTCTTGTGAACATTAACGGCATAAGGACCACTTTATGCTGCATGCGATTGTTATCGGCCTATTTAAATAAAAGTTTTATGACCCGTAGATCGTTTTTAAGTCACTATGTAAATAATATACACTTTATTAAATTAAAATGATTTACATAGAAAAATTATAGAATGTATATACAGACAATGATTTTGAGAATATTAACGCCATTAAGATCATGAATTTATATTTAGCGATGTTATATTAGGTCTACTGTATTTATAAACGCATTTTACGACCCATGGATCGTTTTTAAGTCACTATATAAATAATATTACAATTTAATAAATTAATTAAGATGATTTCACTTAGCCTACTTTTAAAGAGTACTTAAATTTACATTGTTGAATGTAGGTTGCAAAAACAGGTGCCTACGACTATACGGTATGTCATTTACACAACAGCAAATTTTTAGCTATGTTTTTCACTTTTTACTGTTGTTTACATTTTCACTCAGATATTCCGGTTTAATGCCATTGTATGAAAAGGACTCAAACAATTTTAGAGCAGTCTCCAGTGTGAAAATGTAGGCCTGAACAACAAGACAACAATTGATACCGCAATTAAATTTAACACCATGAAGGCATACAGGCTTGTACAACTACGGTATGGTACACTCTCTACTTACCTATATGTATATTTTCTTACTTAGAAGAAACACCATTCCTAAATTCAATATTTCAGAGGATGTTTTTGCGACGACGTGTCAACGACACAGGTCCGGTAGTTACATGCACTCTTGCTTCAACCGTAATTTGGATATTATGAGACACAGGTGCACAACCAACCAGGTATCTGAAGGAAAATTGCTGCCAAGGACAGGAGTGCCCTACCAGACTAAACCTACGAATTATTAGTCAAGCGCTCACCGTACCCCTTATTAGCGTCCACCATTGAATTGGTCTAGCACTGACACCAAAACGGTATCCAACCAGTTTGCCGAAAATCATGATTGCCGAATTAATGGCCTCTTTGACAAAACCCAGTTTGCAGAATTCAGTTCACCGAAATAATGACAACCCAGTTTGCCGAACCCTAGTTTGCTGAATCATTTGCCGTCACCATCGTACAAAAGTACAGCACACTGTGCTTTCGAAAACATCATCATTTGTACCAGTGTAAACGCCCCGCTTTGAATAAACGCCCCTTCATTCTTAAACTACACAGTCAATGCAGATTGACTAAACAAAAATGCAAAATTACCTATTTACATTGATTAAAAGTTATAGACCTGTCGATTGTTTATAAAACTTCCTTACTTCACAAGGCAAATCTGCGAAAGCCAAGAGCTAACTATAGTTTCTGTCTGTAGGCCTATGTAGAGGAAAGGTGTATAGGCCTAAACTGGGTCCCCGTCTGTTTTGTTGCCACCAATTATTTGTTAGGACAAAAACTAACATAGTCAAATGTTAACATTTTAGACACAGTTAGGCCTATGTCTAAAATTAGATATATGTCCTGGGTATGACGTTAAAATGCATCAATTCGAATCGCCGGCGACTAACTGGCAGTCCATCTACGGCATTACCCTTAGCGACGTTTGGATGGGAGGGTGAATGGTCACCCAGCAGCAATAAGAAAAAAAGCTGAGCAAAGGGTGGATGAACTCCTCGGAGCCAACGGCCAAACCATGCTTATTTTAAGGAGTATGGTTAGTTAAGTACCTGTATCATTCTAATTGTATTCTTATTTATGTTAAGCGCATAGATGTCTCTATGATATGCGCTCTATAAGTCGACCATCATTATTATTATTATTATTATTATTATATTGAGCAGTGTTGTTTAGTCTGTTGTTCATTAAAAATTATAGTTAGACATATTTCTCCATTGAGCGTTTGGTTATTATTAGTTACCGTATTTTAACAATATTTAAATTAATTACATTTGTGCCTGTATCAGATTACATTTTTCCTTAAAGAGCCCCTTTTTTGACACCTTTCCCCTATTTGTTTTCTCTTCGAACAAGAATGTTTAGGCCTTACAAGGTTAGCGCTGGTTTGTTTTTCTTACAGGCCGAGTAGTACATAAGAGGTTTAGAAGAGACATTACATTAGAATTATCAACATTACACTACCCATCCTTCGGAATTTAAAGACCAGCCATGATTCGTAAATAATTTAAATGGCTGATAATTATTGATGCATGCATTTTACATGACCCAAAACAGAAAAGCAATAATGAATTAAATGAGCCATATTATTGCATTAACATCGACAGATTTGACACCTAATAGTGAAATCTTTTTCTTATGAAAATAATGTAAAACGTGGTTTTCTGCTTTCAGAGAAATTCATGAATGTGAATGTTAATATAGATAAACGAAATGGCTTACAATATTAATTAAAAAACTGTAACAAACTACTTGGTTGTGATAGCAAAGATACAGCAGGCAGTGATGATCAGTTTCGGTGACAAATAAAATGCTGATAGAAACTAAAGATATGGGACAACACTTATCCTAATATCTAAATTGCACAAATATGCATAGGCCTACGTACATATTCCTACATACACATATATATTTATGCCTAGGCATTACGCAGTAGATAGAGCAGACGCTCCCGAAATATTCGTATAATAAATTTGATATTTCCTGGAAAACTTACGTCAACTGCCTATCATCTTTCACGACTGCGTTTTAACATATAGGCCTATATATACGGTATATATATATATATACGGTATATATATATATATTGTAAGAGCATGAATTCTTTATGACTGCCGCCACCATTCTTTTGTGACGCTCACATGTTTATAGTTTTTTTCTCTCTTTTATGGGGTCGTCCCACTTTTATTCAACATTTTTTCTTTTGTTTCTTTTGTATTTAATTAAAGAGGTAAATCAGGTTATTAAAACATCATGCAAAACATGTTTTTAATATCTTCTGTTGTTACATTATGCATTAAAAAGAATATTGCTTGAGCCAAGATTTTTCTTAAGATTTCATATGCTTTATATACAAAATATTCCAATAGATAAATGATGGTAAACATGAAGATTTCCAGCTCCCAGAACTAAATGAAAAGATTTTTCAATATCATACTTATCTTTTATTTATTTTTTTTAAATTTATTTATTTAAAACATCTTTTGGCAGGATAACATATACAGGCGAGATCTTACCGCTGTTTTACAATATGGTCCTGCAAAAACACTGCAACAATAACAACAACAAAAAGTAACCAGCACATCTAATCTATTAACAATAATATAATTCCACAGTTACACTCGAAAAATAGATGAGCATAATCCTCAACAACATTACACCTAGGGCATTAATTTGAATTAACCATTTTCCATAAATAAAGCCTATTTCTAGTTGGAAGGACGTTATGTAGAAGTTCCGCTTGTTTATATAGTTTGATATTCTCTCGTCCCCACTAACACTTAATCCGATCTGCTGCCATCTCTCGCCAGAAACAGTAAAACACTTTGACATTGAGCTTATTCGACTGGTTCATTTCGTTGAGTACGAATTTTTGTTGAGTAATAATAAATATAATAATTTATTCGGAAACTATCCTTTTTAAACAGTGGCACATTTCACATGATAAAGGTGCGTCAAAAAATACGGTAATACTTCAAACAGAATACAATACACTAAAGAAAACAAAGTATAAATAATTGAGTAACCGTCACTCAAGTATTTGACAAGCACCCCATCCAACACCCACCCTTCATCAAAGTATTATATGCAATGATGCCTCAATAGTCATGTCAATCCCCTGAGTGACCCTTATTCAATGAAAAGTATTATTTTCATTCGACTGGTTCGTAAAATAGACTTCGTTGACAACGAAAATTAACGTAACCAGAATGCGTTAATCAGCGTTAAGTTGTGCATGTGACTAACAAAATATGGCCGATTGGTCAGT